ACTACGCTTCCCATTTGAAGCTCTACCGCCGATCAAGGGTGTCTCCGGCTGGTAATGATGTAAAAGGCCACCATCCAAAATTTTTCCGCCATACCGGCAGAGGTAGCTCATCTGCGGCGATTAATCAGCTCAGGTTTGAATCATCATAACTGTTGTGGCCATATGAAAGAGTTGACGTATGTGTTTAATAGTACTGCTGGCAAAGACAAGGGAGACTGGAATGGCCATATCTGGCTTATTGATCGCCGTAAGTCAGTCATGCCCAACCCCAAGTAGTGCACTACCTGAGGTTCGAACTCGCGACCTGGCTCAGTGGTTAGAGCGTTAGACTCTGCACGAAAAGGTCACAAGTTCGAGCCTTGGATGGTGCATCACTTAGGGTTGGTTGTGACTGGCTGACCATGGCTACAAAGTCGGAAATGGCCACTCCAGTCTCCCTTGTGTTTGCCGGCAATACTATCTACAAAGGAAATTATTGTTCCGTCGATCGTGTCCCCTTCTCACCTGCAACTTGCCTTTTCGTTTTCACCGGTAATCATAGAGCATAATCATATGTTATTGTTGCTGCTGCTGTTGCCGTGTTTTTCACAATTGGGCCAAATTCAATTAGTTTCTTATTACGTTGATTCAATTATACAATAAGGGTTAACCGCAATCAAACAACACGAAGCCGTCGAGGCACTTAACGTACCACCCGCTTGAGAGCGATTGACTGCTTTACCTGCGAACATAGCAGCTATGGAAATCAAAAGAGATCCCCGGTTCACAAGACCGGTTGACGCAGCCTAATTGATGCCTTGTACGTTGTCGATGTTACTCCTGACACCTTGCTAAGGCTTGCTAGACTACCTGAAAGGCTTCCTTGGTGTCCACGCGAAGCCGAGTTTCTAATAGCTAGGCCAATAATAGAGCTGTTTGTAGATCTTGTCTCTCGCATGCTCTGATACCTTTTGCTCAGCTGACAACTTGTCCGACCAGCGTGACTCAATGACTATTCCCATGGATTATCCCTTTGTAGTTTCAGTAGG